CAGTGCATTTTGTGTGAAAGTGTGAATTATGTRGGAAGTGTAAGACAGTTGAACTTTAACTATTCATTTGCTTGTTTTTAAAAGCCAGAGTTTTGTAAATGATGTGGAAGAGAAGAGGGTTTCTGTCACTTAGCAACACTATCTGGTTCAGGAACAAAATGTTTYGCTGTTGGAATCTGTGCAGTGCTTCTACAAAACATTCCTGAGAAGGAGCAGCAGTGTTCTGGAGAGCTTTGGTGCCATTGAAGTCGAGTGTTCCTGTTGCTGCATTTGTGGGATGTATTCATGCTGTTCTTCATGACCATTAAGACTTTTGTTGTCTACCTCATTGTTTGTCTGCTGTGACCATTAGCCAAGCAAACATTTCCAAATTATTTCAATTAAGCAAAATTATGTTTTATATTAATGGCATAAAATAATTTCTGCCTTAAGTGATTTGTGTTACTGCACTTTTCAGTATCAGTCATGTACAAACCTTCTGAGAGGTTGCATTAGCATCCCTTGGGGAAAAGAAGCCAAATGCTTCAATGTCTGAAGATTTCCTGATTTACTGCTTTTGAGTGATGATGGCATTTGGTAATGTAGCTCTTAATGAATGATAGCATGATGRGTGTGATTATAATACATATTTCTTTTTTAAACACTCTGGTTTTGCTGAGATTAAAAATACTGTCAAGCAATCATACCTCTTGAATGCAAAATGAAATTGGCTCTGCTCCTCATCAACCTGTTAGTTTAGTCAGGAGGTTTCCAGAAAGCAAGCTGGGTCCATGTTTCTAGCAARAAGCTGATAATTGCTTCAGTTTTTCTACCGCCTTTGATTGAATATGCTTTTCAGTGTRCATATGCAAGTCTTTTGTCAGTGAGTCTTTTTGTTGCTAGTCCATAACAAGCAAAGAATTGTTCTCACATTCAKGAAGGTATGGTTTGAAAACTAGTTATTTTAGCTAAAGTGTTTTCAACTGTGAAACTGGAAAAGCATCACCTTGACTTAAAAGATGCAGCCAGAAATGTAAAAGGGAAGGTTACTTCCTATTTTCTTATAAATATGGAAAAGTTAAAATTATAAACCTGGCTATAGGAGTAATGGGGATAATCTAGCACAGTGACTGGAAAAGCTCCCTGTTCCAGAACCCACTTGATTGTGAAAATTACCTTAAGGAAAAGAAATGCTTCTCCAATCCAGGTTCAAGTTGTGCTGTTGTTTTTTGAGATGTGTACACAAGACTAAAGTAATGCAGGAACACTTATTCTGTAGTTCGTTACTGTATCCATGTTTAGTTACACTGTATTAAAACTGGCTGGTTGCTTCCAACATGAGTTTTTGATGTGCCTCTTGTTCTCTTTATCTCTGTTATGATCCTTGTTATACTTGGGATAATTGTGTTACAAACAGGTGACAGACCTCAGTCACTTGGACCTGGAGATATATCCAGAGCTGTTTCTCTGGATTTGGGATGCTCTGATATTTTACAGGAATTGCAGATCTTAGGGACAACTTCCTATGTGCTAACACAGTGGCCGGAGACTGAACTTTTAATTTCTGAACAACAAGAAGAGCAGCAGAATCCCACATCTGTCTTGGCTATCCACCCAATACATTTCATGTAGGAAACTCTTGTTGGGAGTATTTTGGTTACTTAAAAAGTGACTGACAAAAAGCTAAAAACTAAGATGGGAAATGTCACTGCTTTCTCTTAAGTATGCAAGGTCATTGCTGACTTGAGTCTGATAATTTCTGCAGGGATACGTTGGTCTCAATAAGCATACCTGTTTYATTTATTTATTCTGACTGAGGGAGCGCAGTTTGTGGTAACTTTGGTGCRTATATAATAGGCAATTTGTACAGTCATAGGCAGAAGAATGGCTGGACTGCATCAAATTCAGGGAAAAGGTTCCCATTGACTCCAGGGGWCTTTAAATTACACCCTGACCCACCAAGTACTTTAGTCTAGGCTTTAGTTCAGTATTTCAGGTTCACTGATAACACTGAAACTGTTCAAGAAGGTAAAAGTTAATGCATGTACRGCATTTACATGCTTTGGACTATAAAGACGTCTGGTTTTCTCCCTTTTTCTGTTTTCTGCCCTGCATGCATGTATGCAGATAAACATTCTCTTTCCCTAAATATGAAAAATCAAAAATTTGCCAAATATACTTCTTTCTCAGTGAAGGAGGTGAACTTGAAATAGAGAACACTATTTTATGCATAAACAACAGGTCAATAAKATCTCAGTAGAAAGTATCACACTTTTTAATGTAAAGAGCAATGTACTATTTGATGGGTAATTTTGGTCTTCAGTTCCCTCTCCACAGTCCTGCTTAGGTCTTCTGTGCACTCTGAAATGCACAATCAGTGGTCCTATTCACATTTCAAAGGCTACCTCTGACTCTGCATGCAGAGGGAACTGTATTACATTTTAGATTATCTTGTGAAAGATCTTTTCCTCTGGGTCAATGTTGATTTTTAACTTGAGATATCCATTCTCGGGTAGTGCAGTTTGAAGAACATTAAATGAAGAATGCATTTTCCTTTCCAATTATTAGCTGAAAATGTAGCTTTTAAATTTTTGTCTGTAATAGTAATAACATTGTAGTAATATGCTCAGCTACTCTTGAAATTTTCAGTTACTGTAAAAACACTATTCTTGCACTGATGTGAGTTATTTTACTCATCTTGTTTTCTGTAATTATTCTTCTTGCAATTTAGCTTGTTGGTCAAGTTAAATTGGTTGAAATTTGAATGTTATTTCATGCAAGTTCTATGCTCACTYTCAGTGAGTTTCTGGGTAATAAAGCTGTGTTTATCTTCTATGWTGCTCAGATTTAACTCTTAAAAAAATTTGCATCCGCACCTATTTTAGACAGATAAGGTGAAATGAGTCCAGCTAGCATAGTGCTTTAGGAAGTCACTGTCACTCAAATGTCCATTGTGCTTCCAYGCCAATGACTGCTTCCACAGCAGCAATTAGAAATAAACCAAWCAGTTACAGCACTGGGATACATATKTGTACACCATGGCAAAAAGCCTACATGCTTTCTTCTGCTGTCCAGAATGAGCCACYATACTGAAGCCCATGCAGGCAAGGRMAGATTTTCTCTTCTGCTTGTACTCACTACCAGGCAGTGACAAAAAGCTGGGAATTATTATGTCTTGGGTATACTGCAACAGTTAACTGAAAAAGCCTGTGTTGACTTCTCTTATCCTCTCTTTATTTGGCGTGTGTAATGTCATAGCAAGCAGGAGTCATTAACTAAAACCAAACACACTTTTAGCTAGTGGTGTCTGGTGCATTTAATTTTTCCCACCCTCCCCTGTTTCTGATCAGAATCTAGAGCAGTGAATTTCCTTAGCAGACTGACTGAAAAAAAAAAAAAAAATTAGTAGGTAAAATGTCTAGACTAGAAGGTAACTTCTGAGAATTTACAGATCTACAGATCCTTTGCTACCTTTATGTGCTGCCTAAGCTTGAGCCAGGGTTGTTTTGGATGATGCCTTCTTTGAAGGTTTCTGAAATGACTTGGCTTGTTAAATTTTTATTTTAGTGGTAATAAAGCCAGTTTGATGTTACCAGATRAAAGTGAGTCAGGAAGGCTTGAGTGAAAATCCCACAGAAATKACTGTACTTCAAAAATCACTTATGGAGTCATTATTTACCTGGTCAGGTAACCATGTAGTATTTCAAGTAATTTCTTAGTCTATGGATTATTACAACCCCAGTAATTTGTTCGTTTTGAAGCTGTGCCAATGTGACATTGTGTACTGGCATAATAAAGTTTTCTCATGTTGCTACTTAGATATGAAAACAAAATCAAGATGTTTCATCAGGAGGCTTCAATCAATTCCTGATCTTGCTGAATTGTCTTTTACTGCCAATACATTGAAGGTGGTGAGAGAATCCTTTTGAAATGTTAGTATTAGTGAGGAAAAGATGTTTTTAGAAGATATARTTTACTTCTCTATAGCAGGTAGCTGTCGGCATAAAGAAGCTACTGAGGACAGTAAAATTCCAAACAGTTTTGATTGAGAGCATCTATTGCTCTCAGCTTGTTTGCTTTAGAGTCTGATGAGGTTGGGAAGCAGACACTTTAGAGTCTGAGGGTGGGAAGCAGACACTTTGTCACTTTCTGGGATTTTTCACTTTATTTTCTTTCATACCTTAGCACAAGTTGTAGGTAATCTTGGCAAATGGGAGCACTGGTTGACTGAATAGTCAGGTGACACTTCAAAGCTGAAACTGGAAGGCAGATGACAAAAACCAGGTAGTTTATGCATCCATTTCCCAGGCTGTCACAAGATGATGCTGCCACCAGCTTTATCCATAGTGAGTTTAGTGAGTTTCTGATAACTCTTCTATAAGGTGAGACAAGATCTTGTTCCTCCTGGCTGCTSGTCCAACTCTGTGTAGGAAAAAATTGCTCCAAACRTCCAACAAATCCTATCCAAGTCACWCTACACAGGGATCTTTGGGATGGGGAATGATGTCTTGGAAATGATCTGCAACAGGTCTACCTTGTCTCTCTAACTACTTTTCTCTGTATGCAAAGGGCATGGCATGGCCTGGTCCATAGGTCAAATACTTCATGGGGAACAGTTTGTGGGCTAGTGATGTATGATATTTTATTGTGACAGGATTTTATAAACAAGTACGTACTAAATTCTAGAAAGTCAGAGAATTTGGAATAGCTGGAACAGAGTAAGCTGTTGCTGTATTAATTAAATCTAGCTCATTCCARTTGTTTTGAGTGTGGTCAAATGATKAAACCCTGTGTCATAAATCTAAATCTCACCAACACATTTTGTAAATGTATAACAAAAGAGCATTAAGGGGTGTAAGTACAGGAGTGTAATTTTCTGTCCATGTGGACAAACCTCAGATTAGCATGCTTACTCCTCAGTAATGATGTAATTGTGAACTTGATGTCTGTCACATTTCAGAATTGCAAGGAGCATTCTGTTTTTAAGTGCCTCATAATGCTGATGCTTTTYCTTTCACCAGAGACCAGCAGAAACTGTAGATGAAGAAGAAAATGTAGAAGAGGAAAATGACAGGGGAGAGGAGGCATATAAAGGAGAGGAAGAATATCCAGAAGTGAATGGAGAGGAAAGTGGGGAAACTGTTAAAGAAAGAAGTGAAGTGGAAGAAAACAAAAAGAAATTAAATGAAAATTATGAAGATGAAGCAGGAGAAACACAGAAGGTTGACCMAGCAGAGGAAGAGGAACTTATCCATTTAAATGGCAAGAACAGTGTAGAAAATGATGCGGGAATGGAGCATTTGAACTACCAAGGTGATCTTCAGCCTGAAGAAGAAACAAAAGAGGATTCTGGGAGTCAGAACCAGGTGAGTATTCAGTTTAGTCTCTCAGACTGTTTTTTCTATATTATTRTTCCTCATTTATACCAGCCTTATGCTTCTCAGCTGGTCTCTAAGTAGTTCATTTCTGATAAAGTCATGAGACCATTTATGAGAACTTCAGTTTGTGGAAAAGTTGTTTTCTGTCTGTATAGATCAGTTACATCAGTAATTATATTATATGACTTCCAACTGAGAAAGCAGATGTTGCTCACTGTTTGATGAATCTGCATCTCCTGCTTTCCTTAATATGCTGAATTTTGAAAAAAGTAATGAAAAAAACTTTTGCAGTTTCCGTAAAAGCACGATCATTATATATTTCCGCACTACTTTGTCTTTTAGGACAGAGCAGAAGGGTGTGTTCATAACCCCACAGTGCCTCATTATTTTGATGAATTAACTTTCACAGAAGTTGCATTTCATAAAGGGCTTTTTCCACTGCTTTGTGGAAGTTTCATCTCTTTTTCTTAGAAATTAAAAAATACAATGGAGATGAACAAGACCCTTTGAAGCAAGGGGCTTTAGTAGTTTAAAAGCAAAAATCCTATTAATTTAGGATACATGGCAACATGCTGTTGGCTCAGATGGAGAGATGCARTCCAGAAAAATAAGGAGGACTCCCTGTCAGATGAACTGACCACCTAACAGAGCATGAGAAACAAAGTATTTTGTTTGATGGGGAGAATCCAGACCTGGGAAGAGTGGGATTCATGAATGTCAGAAGCAGAGCAAACTGCTGCTCATTCCCTGCCTACAGGCTGCTGAAAGAGTCTCTTTCTCTGCTTCTTGTGACTGGGAATGGTTTCTTGCACTTTGCAACTGGGCTTTCTTCTGTTTCTCTATGACACATAAGAATATTTTTCAAATGAGGGAGCTGAGTAACATGATATTTCTTGGGCTCTGAATTTATTCTGTGCTTCCTATATTATTTTTTTTGTTTCAGATAAGATGAAGTTATTTATGGAAATGGAGAAAGTGAGTGAGCATTCACTTTAATTGAATATATGGGTAACTGGCTGCTTGTTGAAAGTTACCAGTCTTTAGCATTAACTGTAGGGGGGAATCCCTAATGTGAGTGCTTTACAAAATAAATGAAAATTTTAGCATGATTACTCTTGGAAGACATTTTTTTCATATTAAGAATACCTTGTGGAAATTTTAATATGAAGTGTTAATGCTATATTTGATACCTGATTAAGTTAACAGTGCCTGTCCTTTTTCTCAAGGTTGATCCCCGTCTTGAAAAAACATCCACAAATCCAAGGGTGATGACTACCAGCCCACAGGAAAGTGAAAAGAATGACCAGAGCAATGAGTATGCAGCAGTAGCATAGACAGGAAAAATGTCATGAGCAGAAAATTAAAGAGGATAACGCTTTAAATATAAACCATGTTATTTTTTGTAATTGGTAACTTCTATTAGGAAGGCAAGTGATGTACCCACGTAATGAGTTGTGAGATGATGATGCTCTATGGACTGATGAAAAATAGGCATTTATATCCACTAGAAGATACACTTCTAGTGGATATGATACTAGAAGAACACTGAATTATTTTTACACGGTGAGATTTTCTGATAGGATTTGAGGRGGGAAATACAAGAGTATAGTAGTATTAGAAATTATGAGCTATTCTGTGGTATGAGATGGTTAACAGTAACAGAATAACCACACAAATTACACTGTTCCAGGGAAAGGAAAAAAGACCCACCTGAATTCAGTGTCAAAACTTCTTTGTAGGTTTGTTCAGAAAAAGAAACACTTTTTTGCCTTTTAATTAGGACATGTGTAGGTTTTCCTCTAAAATTCCACATAATATGTATGATTTTCAGGCATAGCATCAAGATATAACTAAAATATGTTCCTCCCTTAATGGACTTATGCCCACAGAAAATGGTTTACTATAATGAGTTGCCAGTTCTAACGTTACTAAATAGTGGATTTTCAGTATGTTAATTAGAATTATTAGGTTTTGCCTGCATAAATAGCACTTATTTAGCACTATGAATGCATGTGGAYGGCCTACAATGCTGCAGTTAGTTTCCATTTAAAACATGAAGTTTTGTTGMTTGTCCTGCACTGATTAACTAAGCAGTGAATTATTGTCATAATTTTTGTCAGTGAACAAAAAATGAAGAAAGGGTTTGTAGTAGAGTAGTTAAAAAAGTTGAATTTGAGTGAATTTCTTGTTCAGTCTAAGTAAAACCTAATTTATTAATGAACTAAAAAAAAATGAACATGCCTGGATTCAGACCRAAATTTCCATGAAACCATTGCTGTYGATRGACCCCTTTTTWGCATATGTGATATATCAGGATGAGCCCACCATTTTTTTTCTGTAAAAGTCAGAACAATTACTGCAATTATGATCCTTTTGCATAGCCTTAATGGTTGGAAGTGTGTCATCATCCTTTTGAGCAAGCTGTCTCCTGATAGGCTGYGGCTTAATATGCATTAGTAAATAAGGCATTGATCCACAGTATTAGTTCTCTTCATGACACTGATTCCACTGCTCTTATCATTACTCTGTTAGTAATTGGAATAATTTGTAGCTCATAGAAATACAGCCATGAGCATAATTTTATTAATTATACAAAAGAAATRGTGGGTTTTCTTATCATTAATGCTAGTAAATTATTACTATGAGAAACTAAATGTCATTTTTGTTGATTTCATGCCATTAAGACAAGAATTATGTTTATGAACAAATTGAACTTGAAGCACTGTTTAAGGAATGTGAAGAACTACTTGTCATGACTGAAATTCAAACAAACATCTTCCCTTCCAATGGAGTAGAAATATGTGATTTTTCAGCATGTTTCTGTGTATTGGCAATACAAGTGTAAAAGATATGTTAAAAACCATATGAACAGGGTTAAAACAGTTTGCCCTGTGGCCTCTCTGAATTGTCTATGAAACCTGTAGCTTCTGTTGAGCTGCCTGACAAAGATCGAAGGGAATATTGCATTCATGATCAGTTAAAAATAAGTTCCTAATTTAGCCAAGCTCTTAAGCAAAATATKTATGTTTCCTTTTCTTTGTGACAGCAATTAAGCCTATGCTCAAATATATTTGATTTCTCTGGGATTTAAAAAGACACTTATAGTGATGCAGAAGTAAAAACCAACAACCTCTCCCCCACTAAAAAAAAAAATCAGAAAAAAAAAATAGCCCAAACCAGAATGAATAAAATAACTGTGGATGATAGTGAGGTAAAATGACMGGTGCCTTTTTAGTTTGGTTTCACAAAAGATGAAGTTTTCTATTTATAGCTTCTGTCTGCCAGCAGTCTCTGTCATTTCTTCCCTTTCCCCAAAAGTTTGTTTTTTCCGTGCTTAAAAGACTTACAGACATYAATAGGAATAATTTAAAAGATTAAACTAAATTCTAGGGAAAGGTAATGTTATAATTTTCCTTCATAGGAACATGAAGTCCCTAGGAGTATTATTCAGCTTTGAAAATGTTTTCCCCTCTGTTTTCTTGTAAGAAAGACAGGATACATTTCTTCAGAAAAGCAAATCAGACTTTTTGGAAATAGAGATATAACCATTTTGTCATTCACATTTCAACACTTACAACATGATTTTTTTTTTTTTTTAATCAGGTTCTTTTATTTAGGGAAACTAGTTTATGCCTACCAAATAATTCTAATATTAAAGTAGAAATTAAAAAAGAATTATACAGGTGGTCTTACTAATAATTTTTCTGTCTTGATCTTCTATGTGTGATGGCTTCACTMAGTTTTACTTGAGAAATACATTCTTTTGTAAAGTTTATGTAGTGTTATTTTATTAAACTTATGTATGGCAATTTGAGGGTTTTTTAAAGAATTGTTTTCTTGTTTTGCTTTTATTTTTAAAAATAATGCACTATTAAAGAGAAATAGAGCACATATTCCTGTGTTTTCTCTCATATCAAGGTCTGTTTGATGTTAAATCTGTGTCTGGGTGACTGACTTTATAAATTTGGTGATTTTGAAGGTGATA